GGGAGAAGGCCCCAGCCCCTGCACACCTGCCTCCCACCACAGAGGCTCCGCCTCCTGCCACCTCCCCACCTCAGCCCGGCTCCGCGACAGGCTTTCCCGTTGCTCTCCCAGCTCTCTATAGACTCTATTTTTTATATCTATTTAAAACATAGAAATGTATAAATATATAGGATATTATTTATAGATATATAGACGTGATTTAATCTCTTACTCGCGTGTATCCGTACTGTATATGTCAGTATATACAATATATATGCTGTAATATTTGTATTACACACTGCACACACCCCCTGCTTCCATGCGCTCACGCTCCTAGGGAGACTGGATTGCATAGGTATTTGCAGAAAACACCACTTTGGGGGATTGGGGGTGGGGGGAGGGAAAGCCAGATGGAAGAGGAGGGCCGTACCATTTTCCTCCCCAAAGGGCACTTTTTCTCCCTCTGGCTAACGCACAAGGATCACCTCAGAGGCTCCTTACAAATACCACAGCTCCATCCACTCAGCTAAAGGACCCTGTGAACAGAGAGCAAGAGAGGGGTCTCCCTCCAAGCAGAAGAAGGGCCCTGTGTGTCTCTGGACAAAATCCTCCCTCCTTAGGACGTGAGGAAGAAACCAGACCACAACCCATGACCCAGCACCACCTCCCCCAGGAGGCTGGTGTCTGGAATGGGACCGTCCCAAGGTCACCTGCCTTCCAAACATGCCAGGCCCACCTAAGGAGGCCTGGCCTCCCTGCCCACGGCACCCCAGGCTGGCCAGGCTAGGGCAGCCACCTGAAGGGGTCAAGGGGCGTGAGGTCCAGTGTCACTGGAGCCCTCATCACAGACTGGGTGTGGGGCCTAGATACAGCACCAGTTCTGCTCAGAAATCAACCCAGACCACATGCCAAAACCAGATCCAGATGCAGAATTCTCTTCCTGGAAGGGGGGAGGGGGAAAGGCAGGGAAAGGAATCTACATGTTCTACTTCAACTCCCAGGCTGCCTCCTGGACCCCTTAGGGCTCCAGGTGACCAGGAACCCTACACCTGCCTGGGCCAACCCTGTAGTCCATTCCGGTGTCACCACAATCATTTTCGGCATCCAACATGCTTTTTCCCTCTTTTCTCTTTCTTGTTATCACATCCAAACATAGGGAAAATATTTAAACACGACTTTAAGTAATTATAAGCTTCTTCCTCCAAATGACAGGGTTGACACAAGCAGGTCAAGGAGAGGGGGCTCAGCAAGACGACTCAACATGGAAACATACAGCGGGGGCTGGGGCGAGACCCCTGAATGCCCCAGACTCAGGGCCCAGCACCCAGGCCGGCCGTGCAGACACCCTGGAGCTCGAGCCTGCTCTCATTCTCCAGAGAGGATGAGAAAGTAAGGATCGGCCCTGCATTACAGGATGTGAAAAAAAGAAACAGAAAAAGCAAGTGTATTGGATGCCTGGACTCTTACCTTCAACCAGGCAGGCAAAACGTGGGCATTCCACATGGTAAGAGTTGTAGACAGGGCTCGGCTGTCCTCAGGGTTCACAGATACTGGATGGCTATGGTTGTCTCTTTCCTCCACGGACGGGAAGCAAAGCATCTTCGTCACGAGGGCTTGGGGCTCTGCAGTGTATCTGCTTGACATAAATGGCCATGACCCTGAACTCGCTTCCCACCCGCCTCTATGAGCCAAAGAAAGTCACCAGTCAGCCAGCCCTACTAGGACAAGTCTCAACCCCAGAGACAAACATGTCCTTCGAAGCCAGGAGCTGAGCTGCAGGGCTCCATCGCATCTGAAGTGACCACATTCGAGATGCCAGGACCGGCCGGCCACAGCGTTTTACGCCCATCAAAGGGAGATTAGGCTAGGTAAGCATTTGGTTCCCGAGGCTAGACCCCGTGGGTCTCAATAGCCCAGGAGTCTTTCCCAAGGAGGCAGAAGAGTGGAAACGCCTAGGCTCGAAATCACAGGCAGCATTCACGGGATGGCAGCACTGCGCCTCCTGGGAGCATCCAGGTTGAAAAAGTCCGTGTGTGAATTGCAGTGGAATGTCACCCAGTTTGGTCCCCGGTTACTCCCTGTCCCAGGGCACAGTGACCTTCAGAGTGCCTGACACAGCCCAGGCCTGGCTGGATGCAACAGAAGTCCTGAGCTCCCCGAGTTTTAGAGCACCTTGCCAAACTTCAAGACCTGATGCATGGGCACTTGCTGTCCAGCGCTGCCAGCAGTTTCCAGCTTCTAGCCTCGAGGCAGCTTACCCGCTCCCAGCTCTCTCAGGAGATACGGAGTAGTTGCTGGCATAGGCCCAAAGGATTTTGTCTCCCGCCCAAGATAAAAATGTGAGGTCATTTTGGCCATGGCCCTCTTAAAACAGCCAGAGCCCTGACTAGTGCTCAGGGAGACATAAATGATTGACCCAGGGGATAGCTCCCATTGTTGGGGGTGGAGGGGGGCAGAAGGGGAAAGGAGAAGGTGTAAGGCATCTGGTGGCTAGAAGAAAGGATCCCAACCTACTGTTTCTGGCCCCCACCAAGGCCCCCTTGCCAGCCATCTCTGCCCTCAACCCAGCTTAGTTACTCTGTGTGATGTTCAAAGAAAGCTCCCACGGACGTGACAGTTTGTGTGTGTGGTGGAGAGGATGTCGAAGAGGGACAGATGAAACCTTGTGCTTTGCAACAGTATCCATGTGACCATAATTACTGACCCGGATGGGGAAAAGCAGGCGGTGGAGGGAGTTTAGTTGAGTGGGGGGAGGCTCATCAGCTTAAACTAGGGACACAGTACAAGGCTGGGAATTCCAAAGCCTCAGAAAGAGCTCTGGGCGTTTCCTTGCTAGTTCCTGCTCTCTCCTTGTTCAGAGGACAGTGGGGAAGAATGTGGGACCAGGGAGGAGGCTGGCGGGGCGGGGGGTGAATGTCACCAGGCAGGGGTGCATTGATTTGTTGAAGAAGGCAGCATATGAGGCCTGGCAGTGGGACAGTCGGAGAAAACCAGTTTTTTTGTGTTGTTTGTTTCTTGTTTTTTTAACATGCTACATCACTGTTGAAAATGAACAAAAAAGTTTCAAAAATAATATATAATATATATATATATATATAATATATTTATATAATGAAAAGCTATCGACTAGCAGCAATGATTCTAAAGTTATCTTAGCACCAAGACCATAGGGGTGAGGGAGGGGACGTGTGGGGGGGTGAGGGGACTGGGCAGGACAAGGAAGGGGGAGTGACATGTTCAGTGTTGATGACATTTCCACTATGGTTCTCGACAGTGGCATGAGGCCTCGGAAACAAGATAAACCCAGAAGAAAGAAGCCACCACAGTTTCATGTTTGAGCCAGGCAGGTTGGGGACACGGGGGCCTTGCTTGTGGCCAGATCACACCGTCCTTCGCCCGCCCTCTGCCATGAGAGAGGGGCGGGTCCCTGTAGAACTGACCATGGACGACGCAGCTCTTCCTCCCTCCCCCACACAGGACCTGTATCCACAATACAAGATCTCTGCATACCCAATATGCATAAATCAGACATGGAAACATGAACAGAAGTTCTAAACAGCTCACGCACATTTTTTTTTTTTTAAAGAACTCCCTTGCGAGGTATACTGGTAGTTAAATGAACAAAAGAGCATTGATCAGACTCCTCTAGCTTAAACCACTGCTTGCCCCAGGGAGTAGGCAAGTGGCTATTTCTAAAGCTTATATCATGGTTGTGTGTGTGTGTGTGGGTGTGGGTGTGTGTGCGTGTATGCTTACGCATATGTGTGTGTGTGTGTGTATGTGTGTGTAGGCTGATGCCTTGAGAGTCCTGTCTGACCTCTTGCTTATTCCTTTTCCTTTAGGACATCTCTACCCTGTTCAAAAGAAGGAAGCCTTCCCCGGCGTGGGTGCAACGCCTGTTTTCCCACTGCCTTCTGCCAGGTCCAAGGGTTCATTACCAGCCTTGTCACCAAAGAAGGCCTCGAGCTCTAGAGACCCTCCTTTGGGTCACACATAACCCAGGGCACAACTTGCATTGACATCTCCTGCCACTGAACTAGAGCAGGCATTTGATTATTAAAGGAACAACAACAACAAAAATACCCCGACACATTCTGTGATTATAAAGACAGAGCATAAATAATTCATGTAAATGAAATACATACCTTTCATTTTACTTGTTTTTAGCCCCAAATCCCTGCCCTGTTAGGGTCTGGATTTCTTGGCTCTTCATTTCCCCCATAGTCCTGGATCTGACTGGAATTATATTATTTTACCCCACACTACATAAGAACAGGAATGCAAAAAATCCCCCCCTTCCCCATAGACACACACACCTTGTCCCTTCCCCAGGATTTCAAGCTCGGTGGTAAGGCAATTTTGCCTTCAGGATAACAGGTAAGATCTTTAGGATTGGGGGTTCTGGAAGGAGGGAATCCATAACCCAGGGATGGGAGAGGCTACAGAGGTGGGCAAGTAGTGGGTGTCACAGTTTGACCGACACATTTGTTTCTAAGACAGTGAAGGAACACTCCTCAGGAAATGCATACAGGCCTGTTGAGCTGAAATCAGGGGGAGAGGGAAAGAGTCACAAGCCCCGATCCAGATACACCACCCACCCCGTCCCAAATTAGAGATGGGATTCAGCTCCACCAGCGTGGCCACAAAGGGGCCGACGACCCCGTCGCAGACCGAATGAGAAAAGGAAAGGCAAGAACAGAAACCCAAACCCAAACCGCTCCAGCCCCAAGCAAAAACGTACAACAAACCACCTCGACCGGATGCCAGAGACCAGTCACTTAAGCTTCAGGCTGTTGGTTGGCTGTGAGGCGGGAACGCGTGTGGCCCCAGCACGGGCTTCCGTGAGGGAAAAGGATGGCCACGGAGGCTACAGCTGCCAGATCTTGTAGAGGAGAGTCCGTTTCCAACATCATTCCTTTCTGAAAGCTCCCAGTGGCTTCTGGTGGATGCGTCACCTTGGTTTTTAAAAATTTTCAGTGTGGGTTTATATATATATATATGTGTGTGTATATATATATATATAATGTAATATATATATTTATATAATATATCAAAGCTTATGAGTATAGATTAAAAAAATATTCAACAGCTTAGTGAACTCTGGGTCGCCGGCCCCCTAGATGTCCGGGTAAAACTCGGACCCGTGGTCCACAGTCTGTAGCACGGGCTTCTGCTCCAGCACCGACATCCTGCTGAGGACCTCGGCGGACAGCGCGTAACTGTTGCCGGACTTCTCCTCGAACCAGCTGTCCAGGGCTCGCTTGGCGTCGAAGTTGGCGATCGGCGGGCCGTTCACAGCGATGGTCAGCAGGTCGCTGAGCTGCTCCAGGGTCAGGCGGGAGCGGTGGTTTTTGCGGACTCGCTGCAGGGCGTTGCGGCCTTTCTCGCAGCAGGCAGTGGACGTGGGGAGGACTTTGAGGACCTGGATGATCTTGTTCAAGAGCGGGAAGCGCTGTTTGTACTTGCAGATGTGGCCGATCAGGTCTTTGAAGCCATTTTTGGTATAGTAATCCGCCTTGAGCTCCCGCCACTCCATCAGGAGGCTGCCCCGGGGGTCCAGCCCCTCCCTGCAGACGTCCCGGGAGAAGGTCGGGATGGCCTCCAGGTGATCGAATATCTGCACCATGTCCTCCTTGCCGTAGCTCAGGAGCTCCTCGCTGTTCCTGGGCCAGGCGGCCAGGTCGAACACCTGGCAGGCCTTCACGAAGATCCGGCTGCGGGAATCAAACCTCTGAGCCAGGATCACCTGGGTCTTCTGGCAGATCTTCTCCCTGACGGACTGGAACTTGGCCTCGGCCACCCTGAGGTTCTTCATGGCGATCCCGTTGAAGCTCTCTCGGAAGTTCTCCTCGAACTCCTGCAGGTACTCGCCGGGGGAGTCGGCCAGACGGCTGACCTCCTGGATGGCCTCCTCGATCTTGTCGTCCACCTGCGACACCAGGAGGTACTCGCCCTGGAAGACGTAGGCCAGGCGCGAGAGCACGGCGATCACGTCCAGGAGGAAGTAGATGAGCTTGATGGACTGGTAGTCCATGAGGAACTGAAGCAGGGCCAGCGCGATGGCCGACGCGTCCGCCCGCTGCGTCTGGCTGCTGACGTCCTTGAGGTGGGCCACCACCTCCAGGTAGTCTTTAATGAGGGCGTTGAGGACGTTCTGCTCCCCGATGATCCACCTCACGGCACGGATGTCCCCCAGGAACTCCGTCTCCTCGCACAGGGTGGACGCCGTGGACCGCAGCTCGCCCATGAGGCGCGGCGAGTAGCGGTAGAAACTCAGCAACTGCTTCAAGTTGTTCTCCAGCTCCTCCAGGCAGGGCAGCTCCTTGCCGCTGATGGCGTCCAGGATCTCCAGGTGGGGCCGGTGCACCATGAAGGGCAGGCACAGCAGCCAGGGCAGCGTCTTGCGGATGGTCATGAACATGCTGGCGCGCAGGCTGGCCGTGACGTTGGCCCCGTCGATGCCCAGGCCCACGGTGGGCTTCTCGTCCTGCAGCCGGATGCCCAGGGCCGAGAAGGCCCGGTCGAGCGCCTGCAGGTAGCTCTCGGTGCTGGAGAAGCCCAGCTCCTGCAGGGACAGGAACTCGGTGGCCGGGGGGCCGTCGCTGCTGGTGTACTGGACGTAGACGGCCACCGTGTCGGCCAGCAGGTCGTCGCTCTGCCCGTCCAGGATGATGCTGAGGCAGGGCGACTGGCGGACGCGCTCCACCAGGTCCTCGCGCAGCGCGCGCGCGATGTGGTGAATGAGGATCTGGCAGTCGCCCTCGTTCATGTACTGGTCCACCACCTTGAGCTCGCACTTGCGCAGGAGCTCGGCCAGCGGCCGGAAGTCCAGGTAGGGCCGGCCCTCGAGCGCCAGGTGGTAGGCGGTGTTGAAGAGCAGGGTCATGTTGCGGCACATCTCCTCCGTCTTCTCGGGGTGCATCCGCAGCTTGTACAGCTGCAGACACTTCTTGTGCAGATTGCTCTGGCTGTGCAGCTTGATGGTGTGGATCTTGAACTGCTTGGAGCCGATGATGAAGGCCGACGTGCGGGACGACTGCACGGTGTACTGGCGGCATACGTGGCACCACATCTCGTTGAGGGTCGGGGAGTACCGCAGGAACCAGAACTTCTTCAGCCACTCCTGCTTGAAGCGGCGGATGCGGCGCCCGCTGGCGGAGGACAGCTTGGAGGGCTCATCGGCGGCGGTCATCATGTCGTTGGACACGGACTCGTCGGCAGAATCGACCTCCTGGTCGTCGTCCTCCATGAGGGCGGGGCCGGAGACCAGGCTCTCCGAGGCTGGAAGACAAATGGGAAGGAAACATTGAACCCCGAGTGGCCAAAAAGGCAGGCGGTTCCAGAATGAGCCGGGGCTCCGGCGAGAGGTCGGTGGCACACCGTGTGAAACAGAGGCCAGATCTGGGGACAGACTGAACCCCAGCCTAGAATTTATTTATTGATTCATTTATTTTAATGCGCACTCCTGTTCTCCGCGTGTGACCTTTGCTCTCCGGGGATCAGGCCTGGTGGCCTTCCTGCTCCAGGCGGCCTGCCTTTACCCTCCGCTAGTGGGCGCTCAAAGCCAGCGGGAGAGAACACAGCGCACCCAGCCTGCCCGGGTCACACAAACAGCCAAGTCGTGGGGCTCCGTTTCTCTGGGCGCTAACGTGGTCAGGGAGGTGTGCTGTCCTCCAACGCAGGCAGCTTGCCACGGCCCCAGCTTACTTCAGGATCAGAATGCAGCTGAGTTAAGACGCATGCTTTGAATATCTGAAACAGCTCATTCTGAGCTAAGGGATGTGGTTAAAATAGGAAATGCTATGTAAATACTCGGTCTCAGCGGCAGCTGTGTACTGAAAAAAACCTTCCCGGTTGTCGACGGGCTCTAGAACATCCAGGCAGCCAACAGAAAAGGGCCAAGGTGTGCAGCCACGGGTCGTATGTCCCAGGCCTTCTGGAATTCCAGGCAGGGGAGAGAGAACCATGTGTGCCAGAACAGCAACTCGGGAGGAGAAGAACGAGGCCGTGTCCGGGGGCTGAGTTCGAGAAGGCCAGGAGCTCTCCCCACCAACCCAACTGTGAGCTGCCCTGCTTGGGCGGGGGCAGAGACAAAGATTGGGTTTGGAAGTTGAGCATGGGGCTAAGACACCCCCAGGACCGCCAGAGAAGGGCAACGGGTCAAGAACACAGCACACACCCCTCCTGCAGTGGAACTTCCTTTATTGACGAGGAGGATACAAGGGCGAGACACAAAGCACCCCCCCCCCAGGGGCTGCGGAGCAGCCTGTCTGAGGCAGGCACCTGCGGGTGGGGGGCTCCCCAAAGGTGGCTCCCACAGAGCGTGCCTGGCCCCCTCACACTGGCCACAGGGCGCTCTTCCCTCCGACCACCATCTCAACCACACCAACTTACCTGCAGGGTCCGAGAACTCTGGGAGCTCCAGTACCTGTGTTGGCAATACGGGGGGCTCGGGAAGCTTCCCGGACTTAAGCATGTCTAGTTCGGCCTGGAGTTCCCGGACCTTCTTCTTTAGGCGGATACAGTTAGGGCAAAAGGAGGTGGTGGGAAGCTCGTGAGGGTCGGATGCAAGGGAGGCCTCTGCGGGACTGTCGGCTTTGAAGGACGAAGGCTCCTCCTCTTCATCCTCCAACGGGCCTGGCTCCTTGGAAGCCCCCTGCGGGATCTTCCAGTCCCCTTCCCCCGGGGTCCGGCTGACATTCTGCACGCCATGGGACACGCTCATTGCACACCGACTGTAGGCATCATCCTGGTACTTGGGGACCTTCCTGATGACCAGCGAGGTGCTCAAAGCCAACTGACGAGCTTCCGCCTTTGCAGACTCCAGTGAAGCCTCCAACACATCCTTGAAAATGAGGTCAATCTTCTTCTTCTTGGCCTGGGGGTGTGCGTCCCCCTCGTCAAAGCCACGCTTGTATGGACTTTTGCCCTGTCTCAACACGGGGAGCTGAATGGGACCCCTCAGGTCTTCTGGGTTATCCAGAGCCTGCTCAGACTTCTCCCTCTGCAACCTCTTCTCTCCTAGGAAGGAAAACCAGGGTGTGAGGATGTGGGGAAAAGCCCCGAAGTGGGAGAAACCGACAGAAAACAAAGCAGGCCTCCTGCTAGCCAGTTGACTCTGGGGCTGGCCCTGTGGGCGGCAGGTGTGACAGAAAGGGAGAGGCGGGTCACTCAGTGGGTGGTAGGGTCTAGAGTGGGACCCGAAAAAGTGGGAAGAATTCTTGAAAAAGACCGTTTCGAGGGAGCCTTATGTCTGTACGCTGCACATTTATAGGTCCAGGGAACGCTGGAGGGGAAGGCAGTTGGGAGTGCGGTCACCCTAGAAGCGGACACCCCACCAATCAGACCGGGCAGGTGGGAGCAGACCTCAGAGCTCAGCTCATGTGGATTCCCACCCTCTGGGCTTCTTGTCCAGGCCTGGCAATCGGAAGATGTCTGCTTCGACTTGGTAAAAGGTACGCAGGAAACACTGCGTCCGCTCCTCCCTGCTCCCTGCCTGCTTCCAGATGGCCCCGTAGGGCCAGAGCGGCATGACCGCACTGACCCAAGCATTCTTGAAATATAGCTGTGTCTCCTTACCTGATCCTTCAAGGGACGTTCCCTTTTCTATCTCTTGCCATCATGTGACTGACTTCAAAGATGTTGGTGAGCTCCCAACAGTAATTTTAGCCTGATTCTCTAAAACAGCCGACATAGTTTCATAAATGGCTACAGAAGTGGGTTCCTGGGGGGTACAGATGCTCAAGGGGAACCCTCAGAAGGTCCTGACAAGCAGCCCATGGGACTGGGAAATCACAAAGCCTTCCTAGATCAGGGCAGGGCCTTGGGAGATGACTCTGGGCAAGGACTTGTCCCAAATATACATTGCCATTAGGCTTCTGGAAGCTGGGTTTCCTAAAAAAAAAAAACCTCTGAATGAAGGGCAAGGGGTCTCTGTGAGTGATCCAGGTGTTCCAGAAGACAGAACCCTGGCTTCCCACAGCTGGCGAGGAGGGCTGTGCCCTGGGCCATGTAGGAAGTCTGTGTTTCCTACAGGTAACAGCAAAAAGAGGCTACCTTATTCAGGACACCCATCTTCTGTCCTCACATGAACACCTGAGGAGCAGCCTCATGTTCAAGGTCACTGGAAGTCAGGTGACTCTCACAGCCTACACTTCCATAACAGCTGAGGGGCAGAAATCGTGAAGATGAACGCTTGTTTAAAAAAATAAAAAAAAAAAAAAGCCACGTTTGTATTACACATCAGATGCGACACTTGCCCATTTAGAATCTCTAAACATCAAGGGCCACCCTGTCACTTCTCACGGACCAGTCAGGCAGCAAAGAGCTGAGGATGTCGGGAGGTCAAGGCTACACATCACCAGGGAGTCCTCATGCCTCTCTGCTCAAAGACAAGGTCATTCAGATTTTCTAGGATGCATGGGAGACTTCTTGGGGGCTCAAGCCTTCCAGAAAAATCTAGGGGCTGAAAAAAACCTTGAAGCAGCAATGGAATTGATTTCAAAGCGTCCATAAAGTATGGGGGAAAACACCACAAAGTGAATCAGTAACTCAAAGTAGATCAAATAACATAAATTTTTTGAAAACACTATATCAGATGCGTCCTGTTCTTACAAGAAAACCACAAAGGCATAATTTACACTGTCTTCAGGGAACAGTTCTGGGCTCCGAGTAATGTCCCTACTTAAGAAGGACTAATAATTCATGCTCTGGCCTTTCTCAGGGCCCCATCCTCCAATTACAAAGAAACCTCCTTCCATGCAAGACCTTCAGTGACTGAGGGTAGGAATCCTCTTTCCGGAGTGGGGCTGGCACAACAGTCTAAGCTTCCACCAGCTAGCTATTCAGTCCGCCGGAAACTACCAGCTACAGAGCCACCGCTGCATCCAAAGGCCACTGAGCTCACCACTGCTCCCAAGGGCTTTAGGACCAACACCCCTCCATCCCCCCTCCCCCGCTCTGGCCCTGCCCCACACGGTGCCTTTTGGTGTCCTTCCTGTTTCCTACTGCTCAGCCTGGCCAGTCTCCTGTATCTTTGCAAGTCTTCATGGATCTCTTTTCAAATCTCTCTGCCATGCCTCCTTTGAACCACTCCTGAAAGCTCACTCCCTTCTCTGAGCATTCCCCTTGGGTCTCAGAGCTCTCTCAGGACGACTGCAGCTTGAGGTACTTTGGAGAAGACACTGGGAGGGGGGAAAGGACATTATAAATCCTGAAGAATTCAAGAAGATTACGGCCAAGGGATGAAACCTGTGTCCTCAGATATGACTTCTCTTGGTTTTTTCTTCTGGTGATACGGTTCTCGTGGAGACTTCTTGGGTGTCTTCATTCATTTCTTCTTTTATCCATTCGACAAAGATTTATTGAGCTGCTACTAGGTACCAGACACGCTTACATAAGGCATCTTCAGAGGTTAAATGGAAACCGTGGCAATCTCATCATAGAAACATGCCTTCCCGCGAGAAATCGGCCTATGCCCAACCCCCAGATCCGAAGAAGACAAGAAGTGGGTATGTTTACTGGGCCTTGTCACTGCCCATCCAATCACAGATACCTTTTACCAAGTCAGGCAGTAGCTGTGCATTCAATGTCCACAATCTGCTTTATTCTGTTTTGTTTCTAAAAATAGCTTAATTGCAATGGGCCACCCCACTCCCTCTTCCTCGTCTCCACTCACACTCCACATGAAGATTTATTTCCAGTAAGTAGGTTGCTCAGGAATGTGATATCGTCAGGCCTGGGGATAGCCCCAGTTCCTGGAACCACATGGACTCTAGGTATTTGAACGTGTGTTTTTAGCGCAAGAAAGGTCCCCTGAAAAGAAGGAGCCAGACTCACCAGTTTGCTTTGGCCAGACTGAGGATATGGTAGAGAGGCAAAGGGCTAGGGGCTGGGGAGTATTTTAAGCCACCTTCCAATGACTCATTTAAATGGAGTCTGGATGGACATCTCACCCACCAAGCCATCACCCACACCTACGGTCTCCTTCCCACCTCCCTCCAGCCTTCTTCTAATAGAGACTGTTCGTGCACAGCATGGGACTTGGCCTTCCAAGGAGACCAGGAGGTAGTAGGGAAGAAACTAGTTTGGTCAGAGAGGCCTATAACACTGTAAGTTAGAGGCTAGATCCTGCACTGAGACCGATGTGCACGAGAAACCCCTCACTGCTCTTCTCAGCCACGTGACCCCGGGGCGGGGCGGGGGGGGGGGGGGGGGGGGGTCACCGTATTTATCTGGTGCTAGGTTTCTGCAGTTGTGAGATGGGGATCACAGTCCACAGGGGATCATTAGAATCAAGAACTCACAGCTGAGGGCTTACAGGGGTCAAGGTGGACATTGCTCTCGATGTGTTCTGTGTGGTACCTAATTCTCCCGCCATGCTCATGAGGTGAGCACTCCTGTCCTGAGAAGCACGTGCACGCTACAGAACAGCAGCTTTGTGCATGGGACCCACTTAGTCAATGTTTGCTACTACTGAGCCAGTGGTACCTTCTAGCACCTTTCCGTCCCTTTGACTTAGGCAAAGAGGATCAATTTTGATGAAACGTACATGCTTAGCTCTGGGGCCTCTTCTCTTTGGATACTCTCAAACATCTGTAACAGGGTTTCTGAGGGAGGACAACACGCAGGAGTGCCTGCCGCCCTGCCCAGAGCTGTCGCTCACACCCAGACCAGCTGCCCATCCCCCCACCCCACCCCCCGAAGTCCCTCTGGGTCTCCCCATTGCTGGTAGACTGTGTTTCCCATTGGTTTTCTTAGGAAGCACCCAGAGAAGCTGGCTTCCCCTGTGTTGGGTGGCAGGCGTGGCCCTTGCCTCGGGGTGGGCACTCACCTCTGGCCAGATTGCGGTGGATGGTTTCCTGGGACATGCTGTGTAGACGCCTCATGTAGTCCTCGCTGTACCAGACCCGGAGCCGTTCCCCAGGCCGGATGTCCCGGCACGCTCGGAAGTAGATGCGCTCGCTGTGCTGGAAGGCCAGCAGGTTCTGCTCCCTCTCCTCCCGGGAGATGACCACGTACCTGGGGGTGAGGGGGACAGGTGAGAACACACAGGCCACTCATCGCTGTGTGCCTGCCGGGGCCAGGCACGGTGCCAGGCAGGCGTGGGAGGTCAGAGGTCCACCAGCATGTGGCATGTGCTGAAAAGTCCAGGGGCAGCTGACTGTCCAGGATTGGGACACCAGCTAGGGGCCCGTCCCTGGTCTCAACCTCACCTTTTTGTGTGACCTTGAGCAAGTCTTTGAGTCCCTGAGAATCTGTGTTTTCTGAGCCTAGAAATGACAGCTGCCCTGCCTACCTCCCAGATTCTGGTAAATATACAATTCAACACCAGATACAAAAATGACAGCAAACCGGAAAGATCAGGTCATTTCTTCCTCACTAACTTTTAAGTGCAGGGATTCCCAGACACCCACAGGCCTCCGATGGTGGGGAGTGTGGGGTTTTCGGACTCTTTCCAGTATTTCACAAAGCCCACCTGAAATAACTCATGTGACGAGGGTGCCCAAAAAGGCAATTAATTAATGCGGAAGATTAATATCTTTAAAAAATGGGTGTGCAATCCAGACAGAAGATGGAGGTAGATAAGTGACAAGAAAGGATTAGCAACCACTCACTAATCTAAGTTATTTTAAGGTAAGGAAACTAAGGATCAGAGAAGGTAAGTGACTTGCCCAAGGTCACACAGCTAATAAATGGGAGGTGGAGCTTTGAGTCTATATTTTCCCCTGTAGAACTCACGGCTCCTCCGTGAGTCTGTGAAGCACCAACCCAGTGACACGCAGATAACATTGAAAGTTCCACCAAACCCTCAGTATCTCTCTCTTCCCCAGCTCTCCCTGAAATCACATTTCCAACATCCAACCTGCCTCCTCTAAAAGATGAGATGACATAACACGTACAGAGAAGTGGAGGCATAGAGATCAAAAGAGGAAATTATTTGACGTCTTAAGGATCTAGGAAATTTGGAAAAATAAACTTTTTTCCCTTAGGTTATGGTTTGTCTCAAAGGACAGGGAAGAAATCAAAATCTGTCTGACTGCCCTAACCCAGAGAGCTGTCTGTAGAGCAGTCCAGGGTAAGGCGTAATTGACAGAAAAAAATCCACGGGGGTCATGAACACATAAACAAATGGAAAGTATTCAGCATCTCTGATAAGAAACACAAAGTAGCAACTTGTCTCATTGGCACAGATTTCTCTCCTTTTTTTTTTTTTTTTTTTTAACAATAAGATCCATATTGGCTAGAAGAGCATTTCCCATCCTAATGGTAGAGAGTAAATTGGCCCGGCCCTTTGGGACACAAATTTGGTAATACGGACTCGAACAAGTATTCGACACCTTCCTAGCAGCATGATTCATAACAGTCAGGTGGTGGAAGCAACCCCTGCGTGGGGTACGCACACGCTGCGTATTACTGGGCTTGAAAAAGGAAGGAAATTCTGATATATGCTAGCACATGAATGAACCTTGAAGATACATACGAAGTGAAATAAGCAGATCACAAAAGGACAAATACTGTAAGATTCCATTTATATGAGGTACTTAGTCCGAATAGAAGAGTTAAATTCAGGGATACAGAAAGTACAACAGTGGTGAGCGGGGTGGGGCAGGGGTAGGGTGTGGGGGTGGGGCGCGGGGGGCGTGGCGGCTGGGGAATGGGGAGTTAGGGTTTAATGGGTATCCTGTCTCAGCTGGACAAGAAGAAAAGAGCTCTGGAGAGGGATGGTAGTGATGGGTGCCCAGTGTAAATGAAATGAATGCCACCGAACTGTACACCTGAAAAAAAAGAGTGGTTAAAATGGTCAATTTTATGGTATGTACGTTTTGTCACAATTATTGCAAAATTTAAAAAGGGACCATGAGATGCAGACCGAGTAGACAAACTGTGCTCCCATCACCCTGCCTGTGCCACTGTTTACAATCGTGCAAAGACATTGAAACCTCTAATACTGGAGAAACAGTTCAGTAAACCATGGTATATCCGTATGATGGAATGTTGTTACTCATCTAAAGAAAATGTTTGCAAAGGATTTTTCACGACATGGAAAAACGGTCCTGATAGAACGCAGGGTGACAACAGTAGGACCGGAAACTGTTTACTTTACGGTTCCAATCATGCTTTCAAAACACGCCTCGGGAAGCTACTTGAAAGAAATACACCGCTGTTTTACCAGTGATTGATTACCCATTACAGGGGAATCTGCTTTATCAGTTTTTTCTCGTATTTTCCAAGTTTTCCTTGTTAAGCAATTACTACAGTTACCCCCACAGCCACCCCCTAAAAAAAAAGACATGCACGAACGCCAATTCCAGGACTGGTGCCGTCCTGGCGGCCAGCCGCATTGCCAATCTACATTGCCCCATGTTGTCAGGGACAGTCCCCTGTGGACTCTGTTCTACTCGACCCTGGAGGAGGCCATGACCTTACAAGGGGACAACTAGAGACCAGGGACCAATCCCCCTAGCAACCGGCTGCAGCACGGGTCCCCAGGTTGTGGGAGTAAGGCCAAGGATGGCCGGAAGGCAAACATGAGTTTTTGGCTGCTTCACCCCTGTTGAGAGAAGAAGCAGCCTCCACCCTGCCAGGGGGCGGTCACACTTGCAGGATTTTTGGAGTTTAGATCCCCAGAACTTGCTTGGGTCCAGGAACTTAGCCTCAACGCATCTGCGCTTGTCAGCATCAGACATGAGCACTGGTCTCCCTGAGCTGTGACGATAATACTGTGATATCCACGACACCCAGTCATGCCGCTAAGGATGAACTTGGGGAAAGGGAAAGAGGACCCCTGGCCTAAAGAAGCCTTTCCGAACGAATACTTCTGAGTCACAACTCTCTAGCACAGGGGTCTGCTTTCCTCCAGAACTGAGATTTCTTCTGAATGTGCAAAATGTTTTCCAGTCCCCAATTTAGTGAAAGCTTGGGGTTTGACATCCACAATTAATCACCCTTGTGGTTAGCACAGAACTGGGGTAGATCCAAAGTTTCCTACTCCCGGATTCGGAAGGCAAACCATTCATTCATCTTCCCTCACAAGAATCACTTGGACCACAAAGCACAAGGAAAGAGACACTCTTCTCTTTTTGGGGGGGTATTTACGCAATCATCGAGCTCTAAAACCTAGAATTATTTTCTCTGGCATTCAACTTTAGGAGAAAAAGAGATGAGGAACACGTAACTCTCAGGCATTTCTTCAAAAGAACAACTTCTAGACTAGATCCGAAGCTTTAGAAAGATTCAGGTCAATTTCCCTTTCTACGTCTGGTGGTTTCCTGCCCGATAAGAATCAAGGTTTGGAAGAGAACTCCAAGTCTTTGTAGCGATCCCATCTTCCAAGACAGATCAGAATGTGTTCAGCATCTGATTGTATTTGGTTGTTCTGAAACTTGGCCCTTGAAATATGACATATATGGCAACTCCCAGCAAATTGTTAACAACTCATCCCCTCAAGATGGTAAATGGAGCCAAGCTAAGTCCCAACACAAATGATTTCTAATTAGACCTCCCTCTTACCAATATTTTGCAGTAACACCCAATGGTTTGATCTACTCCCAGAATCTTCCTGTCCCCATAACGACAATCCCTTTATGAAGAGCCACGCCTGTCCCATTCCGAGAGCCCTTCCCTGGAAGACAAGGCTTCTGGAGAGTGAAAATCTCCGGATCTGTTGTTTCCAGGTTACTACTTTGTTGGAGAAAAAGCACAGAGTATGTCAGAAGGAGGCAGAAAATGGCTAACACAGGCCACTCTACAAATGCTAGGGCTCATCTGATGGCTTTTCAAGTCAGACCCAAAAAGCTGACGCCCTTTGAAGCAATCAAGGGGATGGGGGGGGGTCTTGTTTTCTGGACTGAACGTTTCATGATGAGAATCGATTGTTTTTATTCTGAACTCCTTGCGGACTTTGGGTACTGGATAGATAAGCACTAAGACAACACTTTTTATACATCACCCACTGAGTCTTATCAAATGCACCATATTTTCTAGCTGGGTCAGGAAATGACTATCAGTTCCAATAGAAGAGAGCAAATAACTCACGGGGCAGCCATTTTGTTGGAGTGGGGGCACATAAAGGCCAGGCTCAGACGGTCCTGCTCAGTGGGTATATCTCTGATGGAAAGGAAACTACACCAGCCACGGAGCCAGAAATGGGAAGGAGGGACCAAGAAGGGGCTGGGTTCGGTTTTCCCACACATGTTTAGGTCTCTGAGCAGGGTGGGTCTTTGGGTCAGATGGGCACCCAGCCTCCGCCAGAACATCACCCAGCCAGCTCTCAAAGCGGCTGGAGGCATCAGGCCCTTAGGTGGGACTTCCCTATCTTACACTGAAATTGGCTGCCCACTCACTTCCAACCACTGGCCCCAGTTTCGCCTTCCTGTTTTGATGAGCTAGACCCACAGTCCCCACTAAAGCCAACAAAAAGAAACTAAAGTAACTTCATCTCAAGTTCACAGGCTCTTCATCTCTCTGTCCCCTTTGCTTCCAACTTGATCCCTTCCCTCCCCAGGAACAGAGGGAGGGGCCTGTCAGTTCCTGCTCAGCTCCTCGATGGGGCTGGAGAAGATCCCAGCTTCCCAGTATCTTTGCCTGTGGCAGAAATGGGATTACGTTTGATTTTCACCACCCTGCTTTCCGGCCGAGAACACAAGAGGATGAGCTGGATTCCAGGAGGTCAAAGGGGCGCTGGAACCTTCTAGAGAGGGGATAGATCCCTAGTCGGGAGTTGGGGATTTCCTGCTTGGGAGGATCTCTCTGTGTGACTGGGAGGAAGCCTGGGCAACACCCGGGTTAGGAGGTCCCTTCTCTTCTGAGAAGGCTCCCAAAGGGACCTGGAGGAACTGCTCTGGCTATTTTGAAAGCCTCAGCTCTCGGTGGGCGGGGTCCTGCCTTGTGACCGATACCAGGATCAGTGGGGAGACGTCCCCCCAAAAAGTTCATGCTGCAGGCTGGTCCCTGAAGTACACTGGCAAACGGATAGCCCCTGACCCTTCTAGAGTCTCCTGTCAGAAATGGTGACTTTTGTTTTTCCAGGACCCCTAACTGTTTTTAAGGAGCAGAAGGTAAAAGTCACTTAGTCACGCCCTGCTTGTGCCGTGCAGAGACTTCAAGCATGGCTAAACGGTTTCCTATGTGGCTGCTTTTCTCGCTCAGCTCCCCAGCTCCGTTCCTGTCCTCACAGGGCTAGCTAGCACGGCGCCCGATGCAGGGCATCTGAGTCCTTTCGGAACCAGGAAATGCCGGTGGCGCTGGAGCCCCTCTGGCTGGCATGCTTTCCCTCGGTCACCTAACCCCTGCTCTGCGGGCCTTGGGGTTTTCACAGGAAGCGAAGAAAGAGAATATACACCAAAGAAAGATCCTGGAGACTGGGTGCGTTCCAAGTGTGAGATCAATTTCTTTTTATTGCCATCTTAACAAAAAGACTTGGGAAGGCAATCTTGGATTCCAGCATTGGAGCGCAGGGGATGCCAGGCAAGGATCAAGCCACTGGGCTGTCGGACAGGGGACTGTTCGGTCTGGGGTAGCAGGAGCCCCCAAAGAACCACAGAGTGGGGAGATGGAGCTGAGGACACAGGGACATTGCCGGTGTCCCCCATGCTCTCAACATGGGACAAAGCGTGGTCTGGTTTTAGATGCAGCACTCTAGGAACAGCCACAGCAGGCACTGGGGAGAGCAGTCCTCCCACCCCCACCATGGCTCTAGGGGGCGCACGTGGGAGAGGGTGGGGGGGGCGGGCAGGAGGAGAGCTTCTGCTGGGGTCAGCCTCGGGCCAGGGAGCAAAGAGGACACAGAGCTGAGCTACATGTGGGGGAGAGCTAAGCTTGCAAGTGCCACCCCACCACCCTCCCTGACTCGAGGAACCTGGCTGTCTGTCCACACTCCGCAATGAAACATGAAGCTAGACACATGGGTAGCTAATGCATATGCAGCCCAAGCAAGCGGAGGCAAGGCATGCTGGAGCTTGGATGGGACAGGAGCCCTGATGGGTTCTTCTAGAAGCCACAGGAGGAGTCACCCTGTGGGTGCCAAGGCTTGGGCCCTGCCTCTCCCCAGCACCGCGGCCTTAGTGCCAGGGTGGTGTCAGGGACTCACTTCCTAAATGCTGCTGTTGCCTCCTAGGGGCACCCAGGAGAGCGGAGGCAAGGAGCACCACCCCTCCCAACTCCAGATCTGGCCTCTGACCAGGGGAGCCGGGCGAATCCACAGATCCGGCTTCCGGGCCCGCCTGCTCCCCACCCCACTGCCCCACACCTGGACTAACTGTTGCGTCATCTGTCATCTATGAAATGCAGGTGATGCTGGTCTTGAAGGTGCCGGAAACACCCGGCTCGGCTGCCTCTCCAGCTGTCCTGAGGACCCACTGAGATCACACATCTGCAAATGCAGGGAAAGCGGAAGGTGCCCTGAGAATGCCAGGGCATCTTCTCCTTCCTCCGACGCCATCCCATTCGTCTCCCCACTCCACAAAAGGCAAGCGCAGCAGCTGAGCACACGCACCGCAAGGGCAAGCGCAAGGCCAAGGCAGGGGCACCCTTGGGCGCGCTCGGAGCCCCAGAGAAGGAGAGCACGGGCCCCTCGTTGCAGGGGCTCTGCTCCCCCTGCCCGTCCTCAAACTTCACCCCCTTGGGAAGCAGCAGGATCTGGGCGTGGGAGGTGGCTATGGCAGCCCTGAGGCTGGCAAGCAGGATTCCCAATTCAGATGCTGCCCGTTCCTGCAGCCTGCGTCCCCACGAGGCCCGCCGCCGCGGTGCAGACCCGGGGAGGCCGCCTCTCCGGCACGAGCGAGCGCCCGCAGGCAGCTTCGTCCACCTCTTCAGCCTCGGCCAAAGACGAGGGTGCGGGGCTGGGGCACACTCTGTGGGAGCCCAGGGCCGCTGAGCTGCACGTGGGGAGGAGATGGCGGGCTCCCCGGTATCCTGCAGGCGCCATCAGTCCCGGACACAAGACGAGCTCCCGTGTCGGAGCCGGGCCCCCATCCTCCGTCTCTCTTCCTCCTCCTGTGGACGGGCTGCGCTAGCAATTGTGCTTTCTCTTCCGAGACCTGGTAGTCCGTGCCGGGGCTGGGGCCGGGGCCGGGGCCGCCTGCGGGAGCTCTGCCGGGGGGGCCTCAGCCTGAGCAGTCGAGCCTGTGGGCGCGACCCCATCGGGGCCCCGCTGAGACGCCCGAACACCGTCTCGGATCTCTGTCAGCGTCTGGCACATCTGACCGACGCGGCTGGTCAGCTCGGCCATGGTCTGGCCGATGGCGTGCATGCCGTTCGCCATGTCCCGGTGCACGGTCACCAGCTCCCGGCAGATCTGCTGGAGCGCCTCAGTCTGCTGGACGTGGGCGTGGAGGAGCTGCCAGTCAAGGCCTGTGCTGGGCGGGCTGAGGTGTGGCCGAGGGGTCCTGCAGGCGGCCTGGGCCTGGGGTGAGGGCCGAGGCGGGGCCTCCGGCTTGGGACCCACCATCTCAGACTGGTCCGAGGAGGAGGAGGAGCGGAGCAGGGTGGGCCTGGCCAGGCGGGCCTCTTCCTCCGCGGACCGCTGCAGGGACGCCCGCAGAGGCTGCCTCGAGGGCCCGGGGGCTTCCTCATCTTCATCATCTTGGGGGACAGAAACAGAGAAGGGCAGATGATTACAACAGAAAGACAGGGGGCAGCCCTAGGCTTGGGCCCACCCCCAGGTCACTCTCTGGTCCCCCTGCCCCACCACCCCTGAGGCTCACTGAGCGCTACCCACCCCCAGAGAAGCACCCGCTCCCCAAATCCCTGAGGTGCGGGAGCCAGGCGCCCCCGGGGAGAAGGGCAGGCACGAGAACTGCCCAGGTCCCCCTTCCTCTTGCTGGAGCGGCACCACTCTAGTGGGATAGCCCAGGTCAGGGCTGTCTTGGGGAGCCCAGGTCGATCCTGTGGCTTCCTTCATCTGTCTGGGACTCAGTTTCGGCAAAGCTGATACCTGCTCTGTCCACCTAACCAACCACCTGCCCACCTAGCAGGGTTGCTAGGGAAACTAAACAAGAGAGTGGCCAGGAGGGAGCTTGGCAAAAGCCTCAGGAGCTACACCTGCCAAAAGGCTCCAGCCTCCACGCAGCCGTGGTGGACTTGCTTGCGCCCCCTTGTGGCCTGGCAAGAATCTGCAGCTCTAAGTGGTCACAGGGGGCCCATGCACAGGGTGGCGTGGGAGGGAGCTGACTGGAGGGTGTTTAGCAGGGGAGCCACCCCGGGGGCCAGCCCTGATGTCCCTCTCGACCCGCCCCCCTGGTGGGCCACCCGGGAGTGTCTGACAGCTTGCAGGCGCCCTCACACAGACGACTCCTTGCAGCCAGTCACAGGGAGAGGGGCCCAGCCCTCACACACTCAGGCCTCGGCTCTCTTGGGAGCCGGATCAGGAGCGGGTTCCCATGGCAGGAATAAAAAATATACAGGTTCCCTGGGCATCTCAGGGGGGTTAAATGCGGAACCATCCTCAGGCGAGGTGACGGGGAGGACAGACAGACTCATGCTGACCCCAGCCACACACATGCCTCCACGGGGTCCCAGGGCCTCCCTCAGGCGGGCTCGAGAAGAACCCAATTACTCATACCGTACCCGGTGGGACAGTTGCCATCCTCCCTACCCCGGGGATCCCAGGACACGCACTCTGGCGTGGCAGGGCTGGAGGAGAGGGTGGGGCTGTGACGGTGCTCTTTCCCTTCCGGGGCCTCCTTCCACAGAGCCCCTGGCCTCGTGCTGTAACAGCTGGTCCACTGACCGGGAAAGGGGGACTGGCCAAGCCTGCAGGGGAGGGGTCCCGCGCCCCCTGCCCAGCTCAGGTCACATTTGGTAACCTCATTGCCTTCTGTGTTAGGGAGCTGGAGGAGAGAGCAGGGCAGGATGGAGGGAATAGACTTCACTGGCTTGTAGGCCCCCTTCTTTTTCTCATAACTGGGCGGAATCACCCCCACAATTTAGCAAAACACAGATTCATGGGGAGCTGGCAGACCCGGGCTTGAGTTCTGGTTCAGAATCTAGCTCGGGGGCTGCCTCATCTCTGGAGCTCAGCTGCCTTGTCTACATAGCAAGGAAGTCAGACGGGACAGTCTCTGTTCCTTTCCGAGTCCTGAAGAACTGACCCCGAATGGCCACCTGTCACGAGCGCTAGCCAAACAGGAAACTAGCACAATCCCAATCCCGACAACGGCATGGGGCCTTGGAAGGGAAGCAGGGTCTTTGTGAATCACCCTCCCCAGGCTGGCCAGCCTCTGACTTCCCTGGAGTCCTCCTGCCCTGCTCCCTTTCTGAGAGGCCGGGCTCCCATTGGGACTTTGGCCTGAGGGTGGGGGCGGGTGCGTGCAGAAGCCAGAACTGAAGGGGGTGCGGCCCCAGCACAGAAGGGTCTTGACTGCTCCCCTGCCCCGTCAGGGGAGCCTCAGCTCGAACTACAGCCCCAGCTAGAGCCTGCTGGGCCTGAAGATTGCAGTCAAGCCCGTGGCATCCAAGTCCATCCTGGGACACAGGATGCCCAGGAGAACGGGGCAGAAGAGAGGTGGAGGGGGACGTGGGGGCAGTAGGGACAGGGACCGGACCTGGTGAGACAGGCAGATCTGAGAGTGCCTTAGCGGGGAAGAGAGGCAGAGGACCACGGGAGTGGGAGTGGGCAGCCGCAGCAAAAGAACGCAGAAGTCAAGACATGAGGAAAAGAAAGAGAAAAGACTGATCCCCCCCCCCCCCCCCCCCCCCCTGCCCCCTGGCCTGGGCCCTGAAGACTTGGCTGGCTTCCTCCCGCGACCCCTCCCCCGCGCCTGGCTCCTCTCAGTCCTGGAACGTGCCAAGCGCCTTCCTGATGCGGGGCCTCTGTACATGCAGTTCTCGGCCTGGAGGCTCCCTGCTCCCCTCCCCGAGCCCCACGCTGCCGAGGCCGGTTAACTCTTACTCACCCTGTGCCTCCCAGTTCCAAGGCCGCTCCTGGGAGCCCTCCCCTGCCCCCAGGGAGAGTCAGATCCAGGGTCCCTGGCCATCAGACAGGGCAGTGAGGGAACTGGCGGGGCCAAATGCAAAATGTGAATGCTGGGCCCCTTGTTCAGAAATGACTATGAACTTCGGGAAGGCAAGAGTAGCCCGGTAAAGTCAGCACCGTGACCTTGTGAGCGCAGAGCCCAAGGGACACGGAGCAGGTGGTCTAGGGCGTGCGCCTGGGAAGTCAGCCTCGCTCTCAGGACTTCCTGTGTCCACCCTTGATCTCTTCCTAACGGCTGTCCTTGTACAACGACTTAAAGTTCGTGTATTCCCACGAGTCTAGGGACGACCCAAGGGCAGGGGTGCTGTAGGTTTTATATACAACTCTGTCTTCCCAGCTCCCGGCACAGCTCCTGGCACAGAGTTCAGGAAATATTCTAGAATGAATGAACGGAAAGGGGCGGAGAAGACCAAGCAGGAGAAAGAGGGAAGGGTACACGGGAAGACTGGATGAGATGGGGAGGAACAGAAGAGAGGAGAGGGCCAGGGAAGGGGGAGGATGGCCGAGGAGGAGGAGGCCGGGAGCAGGCAGTGGGGAGGCCGGGAGGGGAGGCCGGCGGTACTCACAGCTGGTTGACGGGCTGTCGGTGCCATCCAGTTCTGCCCTGGGGAAGCTGTGCCCCGAATGGGCTGTGAGCAGGGTTGACTCGATGGCCCTCTCGTGGGCAGTGAGCACGATGGTGGGGGCCCGGCCCCCAGCCCCGGGGCCCGACAGGGACTGCTGCATGAAGGCCAGCTTGTCCTTGGTCCTCCTTTTCATGTCATCCCATCTGTGCTTAATGTCCTTGACGGAGCGGGGGACCTGGCTGACGGAGGTGATTTTCCGAGCTATGCCTTCCCAAATCTTGTCCCTGTCGGCATGGGACAGCCGCATGGTCTCCCTCCCAAAGAGAACCGCTTCATGGTGGGTCACCTCCGTGACCAGAATGTCCAGCTCCTCCTTGGAGAACTTGGGTTTCCTCTTGCGCTCGGCCAGGGGCGCCACATTCCTTGGGTTGAATATCCCACAAAGCACAATTGGGTAAATGACCATCAGGGCTGGTGGTCCTCCTCCTTCCTAATTGCCGGCCCCCAGTGGGGGAGCCAGGAGGCACCTGGGCACCCTCGCCAGCTCACCACCACCACACCCTCCTCCTAGCCAGAGGCCCCTTCCCCTACTCCTCAGGGGGCAGGAGAGCAGGAGGGGTGCGGCATAGTGGGTGGGAGCGTGGCCTGAGTCAGATGCCTTCAGTAGCAGGCTCTGCCTCAGCCCTGGCTAGAGGGGAGAGCACAGGCTGTGCACTTGGCCTCTCCCGGATCCCTCTCCCCGCCGGGTCAGAATTTAGAGGCGCGCAGACCTCGGGGTCGTTACTAGGGAGGGGTAAGCAGAGCGACATCCAAGAGCTTTAAAGCCCTCCAGAGGAACAAAGCATCCTTACCGGGCAGACCATTGACCCTGCAGACGGCTCACAGGGCGACTATTTACAGTGTGGTCACAGAAAGCTCACTGTCCTGTGGCTCATTTCATCTCCCTCCCTGGCTCCCAAGTGCCCCGCAGGTCCCTACCTCTGGGGGTGTGGACACTCCCCTCCAACCTTGGTGCTGGCTAGCAGCCACTCTCTGGGGGTGGGTCACTATGGCCTTTTGGCAGCTCTGGGGGAGAACGTGAGCAGCCCGTGAGCGCGCACTGGGATACCAGTTCCACTCTGATGCAGGCCAGGAGTGACCCTGGCTTCCAACTGCACAGAGTAGCCAGGGGCTGTTTGACTGAGTGAGACCTTGAGACCACCCAAGAGAGGAACCCCGAGCTTGAGTCCTTCCCCTGCCACTCCCACAACCGCGGCGAGAGGCGGGGGGCACAAAGATCCTTCAGCCCTCACCTCCCCACCCCACCTACTCAGAGCACCGTAGCTCAGGAGAAGGGAAGGCTGGGGCTTCGTTACCAGGCCAAGATGGTGACAGGGGCCCGCACCCGCACGCAGACAGACCTGGAGCTAGATGCAGAGTCTCCTGTGCCAACCAGCCTCGACTCTATTAAATGAGGGCAGTAGTTCTAGAATCGGCTTCTAGGGCTGCCAGGAGGAATTCCTGGGGAAGGAATTCCAGGGGAGGTTTTTAGTCTCTCCACTATTGGCATTTGGGGCTAGAAACGTCTCTGTGAGTGGGAACGGGCATCTTGGGCCATGTGGGATGTTTCTCAGCATCCTTGGCTTCTGCCTGATAGAAACCAGTAGCATTTGCCCGAAGACTTGTGACCACCCAGAATGTCTCAAAGCAAAAGAGTCCCTGGTTTCAGACCACCAATCTCATGAATGCAGAGCCCCCAGCATAGGGAGGCCATAAGGTCAACAATCATTATGTTGATGCCCATTCTCTTCCTGGCCCGCCACTTAATTTTTTGAAAAAACTCATCAACTCCATTCAATCATGCACAAGACCCAAAGTTGTCATGGTACAAGAGAGGATGTCTGCACAGTGGAATGAGTAAGCACAAAAGGAAGTTGTACATTAAGGGGAAAGGCAGGTTCCCAGGATGGAACTGGCTTTTCCCCTCCAATTACCATCAGAGGGACATCTCCATGGCAACAAATCACACTCCCAACCACCCCTACTCCTTGACTGTTGAAAGAGAGGGGCCCCACCTGGCGCCATCTTGCATCAGATCGGGGCTGGCTGACAGGCCAGACCCCATGCCAGCAAGGCTGCAGGAGCAGAACCCACCCCACACAGAGCCCAGGAGGTCCTGCTTTCGCCTGGGCCCTATGCACAAGCAGAAAGAACGCAGGCCCAGAAGTCCAGAGCTGGGTTCAGGTTCTGGTTCTGCCCCTGACCGTATGACCTTGTGTACGACCTTGCCCCGCTCTGGGCCTCAGCTGTACCACTGTGGCAGGAAGGGCAGGATAGAGTAGGGGCTCTCAACACGAGCAGTGCGTCAGCCTCGCTATGGCGAGCTTTAGAAATACCAGTACCATGGGCTCATCCTTGGCCCGATGAAGTCAGAATCTCTGGGGTGTCAGAGGATCGTCCAGCTAGTTCAGATGATGTCTTTCCTGGGGGTTGTGGTCAAGCCTGTCCCCAGAGTGAAAGATCAGAGATGGGTGGAGGCATGGCACGGAATCAGCTTGGCCGGCCAAGCTTCCGGTGCAGAAAGGCCCTGAAGCCAGGCTGCACTCAGACACACTCTCCTTTGCTCATCTAGAGCCAGGCGGGAGCCACAGGGAAGATGCCCAGGCCGCCAGTCTGGTCCCCATTTCTGTGTGGCTGGTCACAGTGTCCTCAAATGCAACCCGGCCCCTGGGAGGGTCCAGCTCAAAGGCCCCCTGCTCTGTCCTCTGGGCCCTGGCAGCACACTGCCTGTGCCTTCATTCAACAAGTACGGTACAGAAAATGATTTCCCCAGTGGAAGGAGGGAGTCAGGGAGGACTGGGAGGGCCAGGCTGTCGAGGGCCGTCAAGGGCGCCCCGTTCCAAGGTCAGCTCTGCAAATGGGTGGGGACTTCCAAGGGCCAGGCTGACCGGCACCCAGTGGTCAGGGAGAAGGCGGTTAGGAGTGTGACCATGGCCTTCTTGGAGCCCCCTGCAGGGCACGAGCTCTCCAGATGATGTGAAAGGGCGCTGGAGGGAAGGGTCCACCTGTCCTTGGGCACCTCTGTTTCTGCCCCTGTTAAGTGGCAGTGAGAACAGTCGCCCCGACAAATAAGAGGACGAATCCTAGCATGCTCTGGAGAGTGTAAACCACAGCCCCTCTCTCCCTCCCCACCCTCCCCATGCTCCCCATCCGCAGCTCTCAGGTGGGGAGCACAGGTGGGCAGGAAGTCTTGGGGAAGGAGACAGCAGACCTCATCATAGCCTCCTCACCTCCAATCAACTTCTTATTTGCTGGGAAGGTGGCAGAGTTGAAATACAGCACACTCCCTCTCAGGAAGTTCCTGATGGCCCTCCCTCCTGGCACAACCTCTCCCACATCCCCCAGCCACCAAGGGTCACAGAACCGCGCAAACGCCCACAGAAGGCCCAATCCGTGGTGGCCCTGGTCCAGCCAACCGAGGCCCTCCCCTCCCTCCCAACCCAGCTCCAACCTAGCTCCAAACCCCCTGTCACAGCTTCTGGGGCCTAGAGAGAGGCACCAGGGAGTTGACCTCCCACACAGCGCACAGACCCTTCTGGGCAGGAACCTGGCAACCCCTGCCCGGGGCCAGCAGCACAGACCCAACAGGAGGGCTGTGGGCGGAGTCCTCAGTTCCAGGCTCAGTTCCGCTGCCCCTGAGCAGCCCTGGGCCAGTCTCCTGCTCTCTCTGGCTGGCCAGGAAGGATCCTTCTGGTGCAAACTTCTGTCCCAAACACGCAACACAGTAAAACCACTCTTTAAAGTACTCATGCCTGGGTGGTGAGTACCATCGAAAACTGAGCTAGACTGTGCCAGAAGCCTCCTTTTCCATGGGGCCACTTCAACAAGTGCTGGCAGCTGCACTGGGATGAGTCCTGCACCCCCACAGCAGGAGACGGCCCTGTGAGGGGGTCAGAGTCTCAGGGGAGGGGCGCCCCCTCCTTGGTGGGAATGCTGCCCAGAGCTGGGGGCCCTGGGCACTCCAGACACAAGGATGAATGTGCAGACGTTAGGGGTCCATCTGTAACCCACAGGCTTCCTCCAGAGTGCCCTGATGGAAGGCTGGGGAAGCAAAAGGGTCCTCCCAGAGCTACATACATCCCAAACCCTGCAAACAGTAGTCCTGGAGCCTTCAGGGGCCTCCACCGCTGGAGACCTCGTAGGCCCCAGCACACTCCCTTGGCTTCCTTTCTGGAGTTTGGGAAAGACTCCTGGGAAATCAGCAGAAAGCAGGACTCACCTCATCCAGTTGGCTTTAGTCTCGTCTGACCCATCTATAGACTTGTAGCGGTTATTCTTGTCCACAATCTGGAAGACAGAGAGAGAGTCTAGAAGGCGCCACTCTTGAGTGGCTCTCATGTCCCTGGGCTCCTCCCCAAGCCAGGGTCTCCGTCCCTTCCGCTTGCCCTCCTGTACAATGCCTCTACTGCTGTAGGACTGAAAACGGAGCGGGGGCCAGGAATCCCATCTCCTTCTCCTGTCCTAATGGAAGACCAGAAACATGGCGGACAAGTAGCACTTCCAGGAGCCCCGTACTACAATGATGAAAGTTAGATCCAGCCCTTCTTCTTTCCCTCTAGCTTCCCCCAGCACTGGATGTCTGAGCACACGTGAGAGGGGCTTCCTCCTCTCCCCAGCCTCAAGCTGGTCAAGAGCCACATGGATGGGCTGGTCCCTTCTCTTCGGTAAAATGTCCTGATTTCCTCATTACTCTTGAATCAGAGTTCAGCTGAGTATGGAGTTCTAGGCAGACTGTTTAATTGTCTTTCAGCCCCTGGAAGATTGCCCAAAAGGCTGCTATAGGCTGTTCAGGAAACTACCGTTGTTTTTTGTGGAAAGGCTATCAAGGGTGAAATTTAAGATTTTCCCTTCATTTTTTTATTTAGTGCAATTTCCCTCTATTTTTGAAGTGGAGGATTTACTCCCTTAAAATTCTTATTACTCAACAAGCATATTACTTGGTGAGCACATATCTCTTCTTCCATTCTTGAAAATTCTGAGAAACTCTTACATTTTTGAGTACAGCTTTTTAGTCATTTTCTCCAGTCATTTTCTCTTTGTGTAGAATTTCTATTAAACATATTTGGGACTATCCCCTGTGTCTTTTGACTAGCTTTTTCTATTTTTCTCTCTCCCCTTTTCCGGGCGGTTCTCTGAAAATATTCCTCAGAACTCTCTTCCGATTCACTAATTCTCTCTTTGACTGTGTGCAGTCGAGAATTTACCCCCTTATTAACGTTCTTCTTTTCTTTTTCCTTTCTTTTTAAATAAGCACTTTTAATGCAATGAATATTTTTCATTCCCAGAATCTTCATATCTATCTTTTCTTCAATCTACCTCTCTGTTTCACAAAATCACGTTCCTTCTGTTTTCCTCTCTTAACAGCTTTACTGAACTGTAATTGACATATAATATACCATTTGATAAACTTTGACAACTGTGTACACCCATTGCCACACTCAAGAAAACAAACATACCCATCACCCCCAAATTTCCTTGTGCTGCAGAATCTTCCCCTCCCACCTCCCTCCATCCCTCCTACCCCAGTCCACAGGAAACCAGTGAGCTTCTTGTCACTGTAAATTACTTTGCATTTTCTAGGATTTTATATAAATGAAATCAAATAGAAGCCATGTTCTCAGCGCAATTATCTTGAGATCTGACCATACTGATGTGTGTACCAGACTTCATTCCTTTGTACTGGGAAGTAGTATTCCACTGCTTGGGTGTGCCATAATTTGCTTTTTTTATCTACTTCTTGATGGGTATTTGGGTTCTGTCTAGTTTCTGGCTATTACAAGTAAATATGGTAAGAGAATTCAGTTATAAGTCTTTCTGTAGACACACACATCTCTGGTGGCAAATACCTTGAAATGGAATGGCTAGGTCCCATGGTATGTATTTGAATAACTTTTAATAAACTGTTAAACTGTTTTCCCAAAGTGGCTGCAACATTTTACATTCCCATACAACAGCGTATGGACCCACCAGCTGGTCCACATCTTTGCCGACACTTGGTATGGACAATCTTTTTAATTTAGCCATTCTGATAGGCATGAAGCAATATCTCTGTGGCTTTAATTTTATTTCTCTGATGATTAATGATTTTGAGCATCTTTTCATGCAGTTACTTGTCAGCTACATATCTTCTCTGGGGAAGAGTCTACTGGAATCTTTGCTCATTTTAAAATTGGTTGTTTTTTTTTCTTTATTATTGAGTTTTGAGAGTTCTTTAAAAATATTTTTTGGATCCAGTCCATCATGAGACATAGGATATATGAATACTTTCTCCTAATCTAAGGCTTGTTTATTCATTATCTTAATGATTCCTTTCTAAGAGCAGATGTTTGAAATTCAAACAAACAAACAAAAATCCACTGTTTTGTTCTTTTTAATGTGTACTATCCTTCCTTTATTTCTTCAAGGATCGTAAGGCTGAGGCTGCTAATTATCCTTCATTATCTATTATCTCCTTTGTCCACGGTAACAGAACCCCTGGATTAGAATTGGGCACCCGGCTATTTGTAATGACACAATACATTTTGGGACACCTGACTGGCTCTATCAGGGGAGCATACAACTCTTGATCTTGGGGTCATGGGTTAGAGCCCCACGTTAGGTGTAGAGATCACTAAATAAATAAATAAGCTTAAACAAAACAAAACAAAACAAAACCAGAATATGTTTCTTGGTTTCTCTGCTAGCTAAGTTCTGGCCAATAGGATGTAGGTGGAAGGGTCAAGTGTCAGTTTCCCAAAAACTTCTTCATAAGGCAGCTGATACATGCCTTTCCACCACGCTACTGCCTGGAATGCAGACGTAATGGCTGGAGTTCTAGCAACCAACTTACACTCTGAGGATACACTCTGAGCTGGGGTCAAGCTTGGTTCCCTGAGTGCTTAGTGGGGCAGAGCCATGACACCAGCCTAGACTATATTCATAACAGAAAATTTAACTCCTATTTAGCTCGAGCTACCATTATTACTCACAGTCAAACCCATTCCTGATACAGATCCTAAACAGTTATTTTAAATTCACTTTCAGAATATAATTTTCATTTTCAAGTGAATTCATTTGTCATTGATATTCAGAGGCTGTCTTTTTAACACTGTCTTCATTAGTTTTGGAGATTTGGTTTGGTGGGAGGGTTTATCTTTCTTGGTGGCGGCGGGGGGGACTCTCACTGTAATGTTTGGGGAGAAAAGTGTGGGGGCTGGTCAAAGCATGAACTCTCAGTGCATTGGACTAAAAGCTCCTTTGCCCCTTCCACACACACCTTCTTTACCCATACTGTTCCTCTGGGTATTCCCATCCATCTCCAGACTCTCAACTTGTTCATTATTCACAATCCTCAGGCCCCTGCTGTGACTATCTGACTTCCCACGTGACTTCCTTTCCTTGGCTGTCTCAGGGGCACCTCAAACTTACCTCCCCCAAGGTACCCACTCCCCCAGGACCACCCCCAAGCCCGGTCCTCTCCTACTTTCCTCATCACAGTATCTGAAACCACCACACACTCAGGTTGCAAAAAGAAAGCCATCCCTACTATCAAAAACCAGTGAATGGTATACTTCCTATGGGTGAACTGTATAGTATGTGAATTATGTCTTGAAAAGGCTGTTAAAAACAAAAACAAGTTACCCATCATCCCTTGCTCTCTCAAAGCCCCCCGTCCAATCCCTCAGCAAGTCCTGCCATCGTATGTCAAAACTTCCCCTCTAGTTCCACCATGTCCTGCTTCCATGCTGGTCTGAGCCGTTAGCTCTCTTCCAGACGAGCACAGGAAACCGTAACTTCCCTCCCCTGATGGGGCTCCAGATGCCCCACCAGTTCTCCTCGGAGCAGCCACTATCATCTTTACGAATGTCACTCACCCAGGGTCGTCTGCAGTGCTTACAATAAAATCTGCACCTGGGGTCACAGCCTCCAAGGCCTGTGTCTCCCTACCTCCCCGATGGGCATCTCCGTCCTCCCCTTCACGTGCGGCAGCCACAGGCCCTGACAGTGAGCCTTTCCACCGGGAGGGCTCACTGCCTATGACCTCTCTGTCCTACTCCTAAAAAATTCACAATCACGGGGGTGCCTGGGTGGCTCAGTGGGTTAAAGCCTCTGCCTTCGGGTCAGGTCATGATCCCAGAGTCCTGGGATCATCCCTGCATCTGGCTCTCTGCTCAGCGGGGAGCCTGCTTCCTGCCTCTCTCTCTGCCTACTTGTGATCTCTGTCTGTCAAGTAAATAAATTAACACTCTTTAAAAAAAATTCACAATCACGAAATTTTTCACACATTCAGAAATTATAATGTGGCCGCCAACAAGAATGACCTCCAGCTGTATCTATCCCCTACCTCGCTCGCCTCAAGAAAACACCTCACCATAGTTGAAGACCATCTCTGCCTCCAATTTTACCCCCTCTCTCCAAGGTTAACCACCATCATGAGGCCGGTGGGGAGCCTTCCCATTTTTACCACACGAGGAGTTTTCTAGAAAAAGTTTACAGAATAGTTTTGCAGGTTGTACGGTTCAAAAATACGGCGTCCCACTGAACCTACCCTTTTGTACCTTTTTCCCACTGACTTTTGCATGACTGGTCCCTTCTTATCTTTCAGGTCTCAGTTACTGTCACCTCCCCTGAAGAAGCTTTTCCTGACCTGAACCTAAAGCAGGCTCTCCCCTGCCATTTCCTGCCTGCCACACACCACCCTCCCAACAGCATTATCTCCATGACATCACCTGTCACTTCCTTTTACAGACCCAATTGAATGGTGCAATTTTGACATTGACAGTGTTTATCTGTAAGCTTGGCCATCGACCGTCTCCCTCACTGGACCATAAGTGAATGAGCACAAAGCACGTAGCTATCCCATTCGTGATGGTGGCCTGGTCCTGGACCCACCCACAGCACATGGCATGGAACAGAATCCTGGCTGAACAAATGAATGGTTGCCTGAAGAGCCTTTTAAGTAAAAAGCAAATTAAAGGGAAAAAAAAGGTCTAAGTTAATATTTTAGGGAAAACGAAATGAGTGGTGTGCTGGAGCTGGCTTGCACTGGCTAATGAGCACAGACTCTGGAATCTTCCAGAATTTTATGAACCAGCTGTTATTAGAAATTTAATTATATAAACTTACAATTCCAGAAATGCTATTTTGAGGGTAATAAATACTGAACGCTTACCACTTCTTAATTATTTTCTATTTCACTATCACCGGTGTTCTTGAGGGAAATGGGCCTCTGCTGTACCTGCACAGGAGAAATGCTACAGAATAATGGCTAGCGCCTGTGTCTGCCCACCACCTGCTTCTGTGACCTC